CCATTGTCTGCAAGGTCGTTATTGGGGAAACTTTTCGTGAGTGCGGATCGTTAACGATCATTAGTGACGCATCGATTAGGAATCTTGATCTTCGATGTCGACATTTGATTTTGGTAAACTTGCTGCGTCACAGTTTTCATATCGGTTATTCTTGGATCTTTTGCAGGACATTCCCGTGGCAGATTGACCAAAGTATTGTAAAAGATATTCTCATCCAGCTTCATCACACGGTAAGCGATTTTTGATATCAAAGATCTCTTCGTGTTTTACTTCGTTTATACTCAAATTTTTTTCGCCGTTTTTTAGATAAATATGCTGAATTAATTCTAAACGAAATGCCAAGTGTTCATTTAAGAAAATTAAATTTTTCAATAAAGTTTTTCATGTGTTGCGAAAGCCGGTGAAGTTACGTCCCCCTAATCCCTTCGCGATTGATTGATTGCATTCGCGATTTTGTTTTCGGGGTTATTTTCAGGCCCTTTTGTTTATCTACGTTTCAAGATAGAGGTATTTTATTATTTATCAATTTGTGCAACGAATTCTCAGCGAATTGTAACGCCTAGATTCAGGAAATTCAAACTTTATAGGACAGTTTTGCCTGACGAGTTGCGAACGACGATCAAGCTACGCCCCCTTTGTGATGTGACCCCATTGTCTGCAAGGTCGTTATTGGGGAAACTTTTTGTGAGTGCGGATCGTTAACGATCATTAGTGACGCATCGATTAGGAATCTTGATCTTCGATGTCGACATTTGATTTTGGTAAACTTGCTGCGTCACAGCTTTCATTTCGGTTATTCTTGGATTTTTTGCAGGACATTCCCGTGGCAGATTGACCAAAGTATTGTAAACATATTCTCACCCAGCTTCAGCACACGGTAAGCGATTTTTGATATAGAAGATCTCTTGGTGTTTTACTTTGTTTATACTCAAATTTTGTTTCGCGTTTCTTTATATAAATACGTTGAATGAATTCTTAACGAAAAGCCAAGTGTTTATTTAGAAAAATTAAATTTTTCAATGCAGTTTTTTGTCTCTTGCGAATGCCGGTGAAATTACGCCTCCTCCTAACCCTCGCGATTGATTGATTGCTTTCGCGATATTTTCTAAGAATTTTTGCTGCCCCTTTTTGTTTAAATATTCATGCTACACCCTTAGTGACAAGATTTAGTAGAGTTTTTGTAAACTTCATGTTGCCCTCATCGTGGTATAGAAATTTAATAACTTTTTCAATACATTTTTCCATCTATTGCAAATGCCGGTGAAGTTACGCCTCCCCTAACCCCTCACAGTTGATTGATTGCTTTTGCGATATTTTCATGGATTGGAAGCTGCCCCTTTTTGTCAAAATAATCATTCTGCTCCTTTTTTGTACGTGTTTTTCTACCGCTTTTAGACCAATTTTATTTTACAACTGCTAAGCAATTTTTCCAGCCATTTCCATTTCGACATGGAAACATGCTTTAATGAATTGTTTCTACGCGTACACTAGCGCTGAAATTTAATAACCATTATTCCTCTTTTTTTCAGGGCATTTGCGAGACGTTTTGACACCACGATTTGAATGAAAGACATTTCTTCTTTGGCCTTTGTTTCGTTATAATTTGATTGATTTAGAGGATCTTTGTATGTTTATTGTAAAGTTGAAGGATAATTCAAGATTTTGCATCCTGCTCTCAAATAGTTTCAGCGATTGATAGGACCCCTATTTCATAGATTTTCATACCCTACTTCCAATTGGATTTTTACGAGGATGTTTATGAAACACACGGTTCCCTCATTGTACTTTTACAGAGTTTGCCCCCTATGCGTTATAAACATCTATTAGATTTTGCTTTAAATGTGCTATTTAACTTTGGAGGATCCTCAACTCTAGCCATTTATTGTTACCAATCTTGCAATTGGTTTTTTACGAGGATGTTGGTGAAATACACGCCTCCCTCATTGTGATATATTTGAGGGTTTGCCTCATATATTTTGAAAACATCAGATTTTAGATTTTGCTTCAGTTATGGATTTTGTTTTCAGGATTCTCCACTCTAGGGTTGGCACACCAATAGTAACTATTAATTGTTGTTGTTTTCAAAATTAGCAAACATTTTGATAATTATTATGATGATGAAGTAGATATTTGTTTTTCTGCTAGAAATCTGCCATTGAACACAAGTTAGGATAGTTGATAATCAGTCAAGTTTTATAGCATGATAAAAAGTCCTCAAAAATGAAACATTAGTGGAACTATATATATTCTCTCTCGGCAATATTTTAGACACAGGTATTAAGTAACATTCATATAAAGATTAATTTATTTTCAAATTTGGTCGGGGTGAAGAGGAAATAGATAAATGACTTTGCTGGATGCCTCTTCGTGAAAATATCGAAATTTGAGCTTCTCCATATAAAATGGAGGTCCGGGGCAACCAAAAAACAAGTCTATTGCTTTCCAAATTTGAACGCCTCATGCATTGGTATTAAAATGTCAAAATGAGGCGGAAACGCCCGAGCTGATATTAACACACCACCTAGCAACAATGAAATCACGTGATTTGAATCAGAAAGGAAGATTCTGTTAAAAGTAGCTAGATATATGTGAACTGTACCAAAAATAGCGTTATCATGATTATAAAAATCTCGAAAAATCATCTGACCTATAGACAATTAATTGACAAGGTCATAGTAGTACATTTAAAACGAACACCACCAACCTCTCCAACAGTTGAATGGTTACCAAATTGCTTTTATTTGGCAAATAAATTAATTAATTGAGTCCTGGATGATAGACCTACTTATAATACGTACAGTAACAAGGTTCCCACATCAAACGCAATAATTAGGCTAGGCTTCTCAATATACTAAAATCCTACTATGCAAATTAGCTTCGAAACAACGAATGTGCTACTATGCAAATGAGGGGCACGGAAATCTGCACACGGTCTCACCCACTCGACGCCTCTTCGAACGAGATCGGTTTCGAGGCCTCCTCGAAACGTCCCGCTTTTTCCTCCGTTCGATCCCGTCCGTCGACGTGAGTCTGCAGCTGGCCTTCGATTTTCGATTCGGTCCCGTCTTCCTGCCTGAAAATCCTCGAAACAAACTTTTTCTAGGCGGAAGTTGCTTTGCTTGCGGACCTGATTGCCTCTCCGGAGAAAAGGTTACGTCGGGTCGTTAAGCGTGTTAGGCTTTGTCAGCGAGGTCGTTAACCGCCACCTCTTTGTGCGGAGAAGCAATTAAGTGCGGGATCCTCAAGTCTCTGCGAGCTTCGATTTCCTTTGCAAGAAAACCTTGCTGCGTCACAGCTCGGTTCTCCCTTCTGGATGGAAGTTTTGATTCGAGGTTTTTTTGGAATCGAAACAGCTCGCTGCGAACATCCTTTCTCCCAAAAAGCTCGGGACCGTGATGAGCAACAAGTTGATGATTGATCGATGATATCTCAATTGTTGTGCTTAAAACTACTAAACGGCAGCTCTCAATGGTTATCATTGATCTTTTGGCGATGCGTTCCGATGACGGTAGCGTTGTTGCATTGTTGGCAGGGCAGTTTTTTTCCCGGTAAATGAAAAATTCCACTTTATGGGGGATCGATTTGATAAATGATCCGTGCAAATTTTGCTGTCAGACAGTCCCTAACTTTTGGAATAAAAGCAATGATTAAATGTCGCAAAGAATCATTTTTCCGCCAGGTGCATTTTAGAGCACGGTTGGAAAAGAAAGGTTTGATAAAAGAAGTCGACATGTTTCTCTCAGCAATGGACCCTGATTTTGGAGCGCAATTTTCATAGTGTGGAGATTGGTTTATCTCTTATTCGCTTATGTTTCTGCACCGTTTGCCTTGCTCATTTTTTCTAAACAAAACGCCCTGCCGCCGCCGCGAATATTTAATAAGTCGCCCCTGTTATGGAATATTTGTTCTGTTGCTCTTTTAGTTCAGCTACTGAGCATGAATTTACCCCGTGTTCTTGACGCTAGTTTTTGCAGGACAAGGCGAGAACAGGCGATTGAATACTTTCCCCAAATTGGAATAATTCATCAGTTATGGTTTGTTTTCGGGGGGTTATTTTCATCCCTTGTGTTGAGTTACTACTGTTTCAATAGAGGTATTTTTAATATTTTTAGTGATATTTATCAATATTGTGGCAACGAGATTCTCAGGCGCAATTGTGAGCCTAGATTCAGTTGAAATTCAAAACTTTTATAGGACAGTTTTGGGCCTGACGAGTTTTGCGAACACTGACGATCAATGCTACGGCGCCCACCCTATATTGTGATTGACCCCCATTGCCTGCAGGTCGTTATTGGTGGAATACTTTTCGTGAGTGCGGAAATTCCGGTTGTACCGGATCAATTAGTGCGCGGGCAGTACCGATTAGGAAAGCTTGCCTTGATCTGCGATGTCGAACGATTTGATTTTGGTAAACTGCTGCGTCATACAGATTTTCAATATCGGTTATTCTTGGGATTTTTGCAGGACATTTGCCTGGGCAAGTTGACCAAAGTGATCGTAAAGATATGTCTCATTGGCACCAGGCTCCATCACACGGTAAGCGGATTTTTGCATATCAAAGATCTTCCTTCGTGTTGACTGCATGTGTCAAGCTGGTGGAGGAAAGGGGCGTTAC